CTTTTCATGGGCTAGCTCCAGTCAGCAGCGCTGGCACCCTCTCTGCACCAGCCCTCCACTCAACAGCCTCAAGTGCCAAGCGAGGCTCCGGCTGCGCCCGTCCGCTCCCCACGCAGGGCTGCCAGCCAAGGCAGATGAAGATGGCATGAATAACTCCACTCAAGCCACGGCTCAAGGAGGACCGGGCTGCCATCGCAAGCTTGGAAGTGAGGGTTGTTAGAGGCAACGCAAAAACAATCAGATGTTGTAGACACTTCTTGGTTGCTTCTTTTCAGCAGCATGCCCCAAAGATGGAGGGACCCTCTTTGTCCAGAGGGTCTGGATTTCAATGGGAGATGTGTGATTTAGGCAGGCACAGGTTTAATATGTGGAAAGGGCTTGACTTGCTCTGTGCAAAAAACCTGCAGTGCCCTAATAGACTGAAATTTCTCCCTGAGCTTCTGCTGCATCAGCTGAATTACCATGTGTTAGCCGTAGACAGCAGAGCTCCTCGGAGAACTAAATCCCCCATTACAAAGCCGATAAGAGGCGAGCTGAAAAGCCGGGATGCGGGCACACTGCGCACCTCCGTGCCAGATGAGTAATGTGGGCTGACAGAGACGGACCGGAAAGACGCACTGCATCATTAGCAGGGCTGGAGGACGTGGTGGGGGACAGGATGCCAGGCTCATGCTGTCACTGAAACCTGCATACAGGATCAAAGCAGTGGTCCACCTCATTCATGTCCCCTCACCAGCACTGCCTAATAACAGGTGTCCTACAAAAGCCTGGGAGAAGCAGGACAATGGGTATTTATGGACTAGTCATGCAATAATTTAGGTTTAAAGGGACCTCGGCAGTTCAGCTGGTCCAACCCCTCTCTCCCTTAAAGAAGAACGAGCATCAACACCAGAAAACGTTGTCTTGCCATTCTGGTTGCCAGATAACTTGTTCCCAGACATCAGTGGACTCAGAAATAATGCTCCCCAGTGCAGAAACCCTACACAGAGAGCCTCTTTTGCAAATTGCTAGAGGACCCTGAAGGACTCTGGAGAAATTTCTTAAGAACACAAGGTCTCTGCCCAAAGAGAAGGCTTTATTTAAAGAAAATACAGTGAAGGAAGACAAGATATACGTGCAAACACTGGGGAACCATGAGCACTTTCCACACACAAAAAACAACATGGAAAAAGGCATAACAAGAGCTAAAAGAAAAGATGAATCAAAAAAAGGATTTCCAGCCCCATATAGGTTCCTGGGAGTCTCTTAAGCAAGTTTCAGCTCAATCCACACAGTCCCTGCATTTCTGTCCTGCTATTGCTCCCTGTTTACAACAGGAGACTCTGTGTTCTGGATCAGCTTCCAGTGAGCACCTCCAGGTTCTCCCCTGAACCCAGTCTGGGCTAGCACCTCACCTACCTTCTGAAACGCAGATCCTTCCAAGACACCATGCAAACAATACCTGTCACTTTGGGAAATTGAAGACCCAAAGCAGCAAAACCAAGCCCACAAAAGCCCTGGGCAAAGCAAGGAAAGAAGCCTCTTGCACACCAGCCTAGATTATCTTGTCCAGCTAGGTCTAGGAAACCTCAGAATAAGAGCCAAACAGCAGAGAAATGCAGCCAGCCATCCTACAGGAGTCATGGCAGTCTGCAGCATAGTCTGGGCAGGCCTCTGTGCTGTGCACAGTCCCCCAGTGTGGCCCACCTTTACTCTTAATCTCCTTTCAAAAGTGGAGCTGGTTGAGAACTGAAGGAGTCTCTTGGACAGCATGGACCCAAAGATTTGGGGCAGAAAGTCTAGAAACATCTCTTTAAGAGAAAGACGTTTTCCTCTCCATGAACTCATGCTAAAGAGGAGACAGGGTGACCAAGGCACCAACCACAACCAGAGCTTGGGATGTTCCACCATGGTCTCAGCTGCTGCCCCATTTCCGGCAAAACAACTGTCCCATGGGGATGAGGCATGTCATGGTCTCCCCCTCCATCAGATGAGCAGGCAAAGCCATCACTGGGGTGCACTACACCACTCACTGTCCCTGCAGGAACCTGCAGTACCACTAATCACACCACAAGCTCTGTCTGGCTTTGACAGCAGCAGCTTTGACACCAGTAGTGCACAGCATCTTGGCACGTCAGCTTTTACCCTCCCTCACACTCCCCTGGCTGTGTTATAATCCTGCACACAGAAGTACACCCAGGTCTCCTGAGTAAGCTTGAGAAAATCCTGAGCAGAGAGCTTGTTTAGCTTCTTATCTGACGAATGCTCCCAGGCCACTCACCTCCCTTCCCCAAGCCTGCCATAATTACGTCAGGTGTCTCCTTCCCACTGGCATCAGGCGGGACAGGTGTATCTTCAGAGAAGAAATGTAAAGCTTGAAAAACAGGTTTTAAAACCCAGAGGGCATGGGGATGCAGAGGAGCGTGGAAGCTTTCCCCACAGGATGACTGCATTGCCGCTCTGGCTGCAGGAGTTTCTCTGCATAGCAGCAAGAAAAAGAGTGCAGTGAGACTCAGAGACCATGAGCACCTGGGAATTTCTGCAACCATCTCCCCCTTAACACTGCCATTAAACACATGGCAGAGGGTAAAACGGTCTACAGACTCTCCCAGTGCAGCATCCTGGCTGTCCTACTGGCAGAGAGGGGTCAGCATCCACAAGCTCCTTTTCTTCATCATCTCCTTCTCTACCAGTTTCAGTTTGCTGGCACTGTTTCAGTACGATGGCAGCGTCCTGTGAGCCTGCACCATAAATCAAGGGCTGCCAAATGCTGGAGCACCTCCTTTTCCTCCTTCCATTCCTGATAGTGTGAACATGCTCTGTGCCCAGGACTTTGGCAGCCGAGCTGAGCACAAGATAAATTAACTTCTGATCCCTAAGAAAATCCTTGTTTAAAGGCAAGGAAGCAAATCCAGAGAGGAAAAGCCTGCATCCCCCATGCAGATTACAGCAGCTGTGGCAGAGGTAAGGGGTAGGGATGGAATGGGGACTCACTCATGCTCAGGCCAAGAGAAGTCACTTCAGAAATCCAGAGGAACAACGGGTTTCCAGCCTTTGGAGATTTCCTACGGGGGACCAGGGTTGCACAGGAGAGAAGAATGCTTTCTCCCACCTCTTAAGATCCAATTTGGCAGCATGGGACAGACACTACTGCTTAGTCCTACCCAGCCCTCAGGGGTGTTTTTGTAGTAAAAGTGACGCTGCATTTAATTTTAGGTGAATATAAGCTCTCCAAAGGCTCAATGGCTTTCTCAGTGAGGTGCCTGGCACCCAGCAATAACACACTGCAGACAAGCATGGTGCAGTATTTGCAAGAATAATCTCCATGCAGTGTCACCACTGAATGCTCCTAAGGACTCTGGCCACTTTGCTCAGCTCTCCCAAGCTTAGCTGAGGCTAGATTTTAAAGAACAATGCTCGATCCAGGTTTTCCTTACCATACATCTAAGAAGGGACAACTGAAAACCACGGGAGGACAATCTGTTGGGTTAGAAGACCTTTGGTGTAAGCTGCTGTCATCTCAGCTTGGAAACCTTCCAGCTTCAGGTTTGAGCCTCTCAATTGTGCTGCCAATAGGCCAAGGACAGGAATTTCTGCCTAGTGCCATTGCATAGAGGCATCTGGGCATCCCTGTGCTGCTCACACTCTCGCCTGTCCACTCTCGTCCCAGCCATTTAGACAATCCTGCACATCCAGGCTCTGCCACACAAAACAGGGGACAAGACACCTGCAAAATCCTTGAGGGCATTTTAAAAATCCCAAATACGCTATGGCCAGGAGGATTTTTCTTGGTGCCACAGCTCATGTCATTTCAGGAGCTGTTACAAGCAAAATCAAAGCGAGTGCAGAAATCCCCATGCAGACCCAAACCCGAACCAACCTCATCTGCAGAGAGAGTCCTCCCAGCACAGCCGCCCTCCGACAGCACGAGCAGAGGCACACAGAGGCAAGGCCAAACCCAAAAGCACCAATTCCCGTGCATCGAGTCCTTCCGAAAACAAAGCTCTCCACAGCCGCGTTTGGGCGCGTAGGCAGCCGTGCCCCGAGCCTTTGCTTCAGCGCAGGAGGATGAGACAATGCAAGCCAATGTCAAACACCGCTCCACGGGCAAGCTGCTCTCAAGGTTATCATGGCCCCTGCACTGCCAGGCGCAATCCTCAGCGCTACCTGTTCCAAGGGTGCTTGGATACCCTCACCCTCTCCTGCGGGAAGGGGTCTGCCTTATTACCCCAAATCAGAGGGAGATGGAACCGCTGGCAACCATTCCCAACGCATTCGTCATCGCCAGCTGCTTGGGACAGGCATGGTCTCTCCTACATATGCTTATGCAGCACCCAGCTCCCACCAGGGAGCTGTCGGCAACTACCGCAATACGAGGGATAAACGCATCCGTGCCTAGAAAAATCCAAATATCCCTATCAGAACAGCACCGCACCGCATTCCTCCTTCTAACGAAACCGCAAATTACTGACCTGTGCACAGAGCTCCCCCAATGCAAGCTGAAGCACTGACATCAGCTTTTGCTGTTGCTCAGGAATTTAATTCTGGGGGAGGAGAAAAGGGAGGGGGGAGTAGGAAGGAGAAGGAACTTATTTATCAATAAGGGAAATAACCAGGAATCTTTAAAAACAAACAACGCTCAGCACTGAAAGCAACATTTACCACTGTATAATGATGGAGGGTGCGTGGGGGTGATCAATCGGTCCAGGCACATTAGGGAAGGTGGAGAGGATTATTTTAAACGAGCAGCTTAACTCATTAATCGCGAGCAGCGCCTTTGGAGCCGCAGCAGTGAAGTGTTGCATGAAAACCCCCGCTGCTGAACACATGCCGGCTGCGTTTAAACGCCAAGGACACAGGGCGACACTCCAACCTCTTTCATCATCAGAAAAACCGCAGCGCTGTTAACACCGCTTCCTCAAACAGCAGCCCTCAGCCCCGCCAGAAAGCCCCTCCAGCCGCGCCCCCCGGCCCGGCAGGACAGCGGCTATTCCCCGCAGCTTCCCGAGCCCCCTCCTCACCTGCGCCACGGCCGCCCCGCAAGCGCGCACCGCCAAGGCAGGCTGGGATTTCCACC